TGAGGCTCCACATAGTTGGGATTTGCCAAATGCACGGGCAGGGATTTGCCGTGTGGACCCGCAGAGGGGAGGATTGGAAAGGCCCTCAAGGTAGGGCTGATGTGCAGCAGTTCCAGGATTTCCTATGTCAAAATAATTTTAAATTGATTTTTGACATGAGATTTGCATTTAGGATCAAGATTAAGAGAGGAGACTGATCTGCTTCTTCAGTCCCGTTAGTATAGCAGAAGGGCATGAAGCTTCTGGGTTCCCTGCAGCACCTGATTTATTCACAAAGGAGATGCAATATACTTAAATAAATTTAAAATCTTTTAGGTGTATAAAGAGTGTTTGTCTTAACGTATTTCAACAAAAAGCAGATAGTTGCACTTTTTTTGCACATTGGATTTAATAATTACCATCAGTAGCAAACAGACCATGTTTAACCAATGTTAGGGATCGTCAGTCCAAATGTTCTGTTTTTGAAGTATATTTCATCACTGGTCCTGGTTTTAGGAAGAAGTTGATTGCCTCTCATGCCGTAAATCAGAATTATAAACTGTTTCAGATCTGGTGTGCTAAATGTTTGTTTTTACCATTTTCTTAGGAGTATATTGAAATGCCAACAGTTGTTTGAATTATATTCTGTAAGAAAGTATTAGTCCTTTACATTGGGATATGTACAGTTGTAGAAAATGCCAACTTAAAATTCATATTTGGTTGCTAGGAGTTTTCCTAAAATACATTAAAGTAATTTCATTTCATAAAAAAAAAAAAATACCACACCTTTTTCAACCATTCCTCAGGTGATAAGCATCTTGGTTGTTTCCAAGATTTGGCTACCACAAATTGTGCTGCTATAAATATAGGCACACATATATCACAATGATATGATGTTTTCAGATCCTCTGGGAAAATTCCCAGTAGAGAAATATCTGGTTTAAAGTGGATTTCCAGTCCAACTTTTCTAAGTAGTCTCTATACTGATTTCCATAAAGGTTGCACCAGTCTACATTCCCACCAGCAGTGGAGAAGGGTTCCTTTTTCGATTTAGTATCTTTAGCATGAAAATTAATCTTGAAAAGAGCCTGAACCTTTGTTCTGACTTATATCTGTGAACTTTTTGTATTTTTTCATTGTTTCTCTTTTTTTATAAACACCATTTTCTTCAATCATTAAGACACTGATGGACAATTTGTTTGATATCATTATCATTGGAAATAATGTTTCAAGGAACATGAAAGTACAATTACTTTTTACATTTATTTCATCTCTTTTGGAATAATTATTTGGTACTTTCATTTTTTTCACAATTTTATTGAGAAACAAATAGCAATGAGACAGTTTCAAATCAAATTGGTAGGACAGGTTGAATAATTATCACATTGCATACATTCTTCCTAGTGGTTAATTGCTGTACAAGATGTGGACATGATATTCTATTTCCAAACACCTTTAGAACAAATCCCTATATTCATTAAGAGAATGTAACTATGTATCCATCCTAACAACTTTGAATACACAGATACAAAATGGATATTCATCTGTATACTCTTTTTTTTGTTAAGTTCCATTATTTGAATATTATAGGTTGTGTGAACTCAGCATAAAATTCTAAAAGAGTCCAGTAGTCCATTATAGTACTGGGGCTTCCGCTTCACTGGCTATGTCAGAAATTGTTGACCTGAGTCCCTTACAGCTCAACATAACAGCATGATTTTATTTCTTATATTTTGTTTTTATTCTTTTCTGTTGGATGATTAAGACGAAGGTAAAGCAGGACCTATGCAACAAGAGTTGTAGCTTTTGGTTCTGATAAGGTCAGTGAAATCCCCTCAGGATTTATCCTCAGATCCTGTACCTCAGATTGTAGATCCTTTGTCAGTGCAGCCATGTGGATGAGTCACGGCCATTGCTTGGCCAATGTGCTTTCTGTGAAAGCCTGAGAGAATGTTTTCTCTCCATGTAACTCTCCTTTGGCACACTCTACATCATCGATCACTTTCCTCTTGGCCCCATAATCTCCTTGATCAGAAAATTTGGGACGCTACCAAGGTACATGATGTCACAGTACAAGTTCTCATATGTGCTGAGTTTTAACTGACTTTAGAAGGCTTGGGCCAAAATGTTGGCTTTCCTTGTAGCCCTCCTTTTTCTCTAACTTGGTCTGCAAACTTAGGTTCTTAACCCTCCAGAAGAGAAGCTTATTGTTATTACCATACCACTTAGGTTGTTAAGCTTAACCTCACTATCTGTCTGAATATCAAACATCTTAGGCATAACATGGAACAGGTATTTTTCATCAAGTATTGATATGTTGAACTTTAAGTCCCTACAGAATATGATAAAAAATATAAAAATTAGAATATATTTTGAAAATAGGCGTAAAGAATTATATACTTCTTATGTTTACACATAAGTCCAAAAAACTAACTATATATAACCTTGAAGCAGGGCAGTCCCACAATATTTCTTTTCCTGTCTTCATTATTTCTCTTTTAATCACTAGAAAAGCCTAGATGAAGATCAGTGTAGAGAACTATAATTCAGGAATTGAGCAGAAGCATACCAGCTCACAGTGCTATCTTAGTAGGCCACACCGAGTGGCTTTAATCTCTTTTATTCAGTTGTTGGCTGTGTTATATGTTTTAAGTTTCATAAACTCTGTGACTTAATTTTTTTCCCTGTAAAGAATAAGCACATCACAATGATTACATAGCAGAAAATATATTAATAGTATTTTAATAAGAATAATGGTGAATAAAGCAAAGGCCAAATTGTGGCAATCTCAGTATATATTTTTTATCTCTAGAATAAGTGAATATTATAAAATTCATCTCCCATGTTTAAACTTCACATGCCTATTGACAATCTGGCATAGGAAATTTTAAAAAGACTGAGAAGACTAGGATATAAGAACTTTAAGGAAGTGTTTAATTTGAAATATTACTTATAGTTAGAATCTTGTTTTCTCATTAAGATACGTAATTGTATACCTTAGCAAGAAATAGTCCACAGTCCATTGCTGAAAAGAGACTGCTTCTATGATCCTTAAAAATCTAATGAGTCATTGTTGCTGATTGGGTTTTGGGATTTGTTTCAACTTTGAGTGTCTTTCTTATAAGGTTCTCAAACAGACTCGCCTAACACTAGGACATTTTGTGCAATTCCAGAATACATGACTGGTGGTGGCTGGCTTTGTTTTTGTTGGTTTGTTTATTGTATGTCAGATGAGGGCCTGGCCCTAGCTCAGTCCTTTAAGTGGCTGTCTCCACAAAGCTGTCTGCCTCAGGTTGCTGTAGTTCGATCCTCACAACACTCCAGCCAGCCAAAAGTGCCCTGAAGGCATTTGAGGAGAAAAAAAATCCTTATTGTATGTCAGAAGTCACTTCCATTGACTTTGGACAAATTTATTTTTGGTTTTTATATTGGTACATGTGTATATTATTTAATGATTATATTCATCATGAATGGCTGATTCATTTGCATTACATTTATTAATTTGTTTTTAAACTTTCTCCCTCCAGTTCCTTCCCAACTCCACATCTCTTGAATCCAGTCATACATGTATATTTTTACATATTGTTAGTAAGTGAGGATCATGTTCCTGAAAGAGACTTACTATAGGTAAAAAAACATTTCACAATCCACCCACCCTCTTCATTTAAATTCCATTTTCTTGGACTTTTCCCTCCTTCTTTTGGTTCCCTTCACATAGTCTAAAGATTCATCTCATTATTTATTATTGTCTAACTTATATTTTGCATATTACTTATACTTTATCTTGTAAAAAAGATATCTTGTGATATTTGAGCTTGTATGTCTGATTTACTTCATTTAATATTATGATCTCAAGTGAATCCTTTTCTTAGAAGTGGTTCAAGTTTGTGGTCACAGAGATAGATCAATGTTCTAAGCATCTGCCTGGGCAAGTGCAAGGACCTGGGTTGTATCCAAGTACCACATGCCCTGCTGGCCCCCACCTTGGGCATGCCAAGCTGGGCACCAAGACCTGGAGTGGTGGTGCATGCCAGTAGTTCTACAGATTGGAAGGCTGAATCAGAAGGATCACACTGAGTCTGAGCTGTGTGGTGAGGCACTGTACCAAATACATGAAATTAAAAGAAAAAGAAAAAAGGCATGGCTCAAGTTTACATTAAAGAGTCACTTAGATTCCAGTGTATTATCTACTTTTTTATTTTCATATTTCTTCTCATACTTATGCTTGAAAACAAAATAATAAAGTAAACAAACAAAAAAAGTCAAGAAAGAAAAAATAACCCCTATGATGGATCATCTTTGACTCGTGCACCTGACTTTGATATTAACATGTCCAAGGCTAGAAATTAATACTGATTCTTTAGCTTGAGTTAAGACTTTCCCATCTGAAACAAATCATTTTTCCAGGGATAAGTACAGGTATATGAAAAGCAAAAATATGTCAAAGAGGATATCATATAAAGACCAAAGAAAACATAATAAATTAACACCTTAAAAGATATAAGAGAAAAAATGAAATCTTTCATCTAAAATATTCCTGAAAAGATGACAAATAAGTTTATGGAAATATAGTTCTGAAATATTACTCCATTTACTTTATTTTTTTTATTTTTTATTTATTTGAGAGAGAGAGAGAGAGAGAGAGAGAGAGAGAGAGAGAGAGAGAGTG